GAATGAATAATCTTCTACGGATCCAGGAAACAGGAACCTGGTGAGACGAGAGAATTTAATGATCTGATCTTTATTTACAATCGATTATCGAATCGATATCATCTCACACATGCCCAGTTCGTAAAAAGAATATTCGTAAAAGTACGATGAAGAAACGCTTATATAATGATCAAAATAAAGGGTAGAAGTTAGGGATGAAAGGAAAGGTTGAGTGGATCCGTTAAAATAATTCGGTAAAGACGTGTAATAGTTTTCATTGATAACGCATCTGTTACTTTCTCGTATTTGTATCGAATTATAAAGTGATTTATTTCGACATAAAATATACACGATTCGATTAAATATTATTTACGATTTGTAATAAATGTGACATAGACATTTGTATTATTTTTTTTAATTTTTTTTCTGAAAAAAAAAAAAAACGTGTGTGTACGTCGCGATAATATTATTAATGAATATTATCTAAAGGAAATATCGATGAATTTTAAATGAAATTAACGTTGTATTGTACTTTTACGTTTCGCATATTATTTTTAACGCGTTGATTTTTTAATTTCCGTATTAAAGAGCATTTATTTTTCTATGTATAGCTTTTATTTTTTATTTTTATTTTCGGTAATATTTTGAAAAAGAAATTTCCTGACACCTGTCGGTAAATTTAAATAATTTATCGAAAAAATGTATCCCGATGAAAGCACGTAACGCGGGCTAGCTACCTTGTCTATCGGAAAACAGTGCATGTATGCACTTCAATCATATCTTCGATAGTTTATAACCGATCCCGATCCACTAAACTTTTCATCGTTATATTTTTTCTCCTTTTTTTTTTCCCCCCCCCTTATCGCAACACTAAACTGTTGTTTTATCCGTGAGGATTTATGATAAACGATGATACGATTTATCAAAATAACGAAATGTGTTTTTTTTTTTTAAAGTTTTCCCAGTTAAAATATTACTTCACGCGAACTGGAAAATGAATTTTCTCTGATGATCGTTTTAATTGATGATGCACTTTTAATTTTCTCTCTTTCAAAGATTTATACTATACTGCTTTTACGTTCGAAGTAAAATCATTAGAATCCTGAAAGCGTTAAAATGAGTCCACGCGTGTAACGTGAACAATCGTTTGGCTTTTACTTTAGTCTTCTCGCTTTAGGAAAATTCCTTTACCTTAGAGTAGTCAAAGTTAGAAAGTGCTTGAAGGATCTTGATAAAAGATTCCCTGTACCCGTTCGTTCAATCCTTTAATTCATTCCTTTATCCATTTCTCTTTAATTTATTTCGTTCATTGTATTAAAACACAACGCACAATTTTATTTCTATTACAAAATACGTGCTTATTCTTTTTAAATGTTCCATTCTTGTGATACAAGAAATTAAATGGTAAAACAATACTTGTAATCTTTCATTTTGAGTTCGAATTTACTTTTTTAATTGAATTACGTTGTTTTTTCTTTAGACAAATATTTCTGATCAATATTATCTATTTGTTTCTTTTTATTTTTTTTGTCATGGAAATTCATTCTTACGAGAAATACGAAAAACCGAAATATTTTACGCGTCGTGACAGATCTCAAAATAAAAATAAAAATAAAAAGACAAAACACCTCGTGTGTATTTTTATAGGAAAAATCCGATATTAGTAATGCGAAGCGTGATGACGTCTTTAAAAAAAGAACAAATAAAGGGGGAAAAAAAAGTTAAGAATCTTAACGTCTCAGTATATTTTTCTTCAAGAGCTTACTGTATAAAATATCTTTCTCTTCTATCCCTCCCTCATGTCGTCGACCAAAAGAATAAGAAAAGAATAAGAAAAAGAAAAAGAAAGCATGGAATGAAATAAGTCACTTATAAAAAACTACTCGAAAAAGGGTAGAAAACGAAAAGTAGGAAAAGAGGAATAAAAATAGGAATAAGAATAAGAACGGAAATGAAGTAAACAAGAAGAAAAGAAAAAAGAAAATTAAAAAAAAAAAAAAAATAATACGCCAACACAATGCGACAAAGAAACAGAATAATACTCGGGCAGGAAGTTGAAGCCATCTTTGTTATTTTTTTTTCTTTTCTTTTTTTGGTCTATCTCTCTCTCTCTCTCTCTCTCTCTTTCTTTCTTTCTCCCTCAATTAATCTCGTTTTCGTCTTCGAAGTCGAATAAAAGAAGGCTCGAGGACAAAAAGTTAAGGGAAAGGGACGAATAAGAAAAAAAAAAAAAAAAAAAAAAAAAAAAAAAAAAAAAAAAAATAAAAAAAAAAAAAAAAATACTCTATTTTCTGTATTTTTTTTCTTATGTCAAGATAAATGCGATTTCATCTGACCGCCGGAATAAGATAACTGGAAGAGAAAAATATTGTTTGTTATGTGAAATCTAGGACGTTGTTTGCNTCTCTCTCTCTCTCTCTCTCTCTTTCTTTCTTTCTCCCTCAATTAATCTCGTTTTCGTCTTCTAAGATATTAAAATAGAAGAAAATGAAGTTAGAGTTGCCTGAGAAGAGAAATGACAAAAAAAAAAAAAAAAAAAAAAATCAAAAAATAAATAAAAGTAAGAATAAAAAGAAAAAGATGAGATCCTGAACTAATGTCAAGATAAATGCGATTTCATCTGACCGCCGGAATAAGATAACTGGAAGAGAAAAATATTGTTTGTTATGTGAAATCTAGGACGTTGTTTGCGTGCTGGTACCATTCCCAAGTGATGATGGTAATGGTGGTAGTAGTAGTGATGGTGGTAGAACGTATGGGTATATATCTTATCATCCAATAGAAACTGTTAAAATACTTTCTAACACACTCCAAGATTTCTGTTCTATTAATACCAGAAACTAAAAAGGGCTGAGTGAGTTCAGATTCCAATAGATAAAGACTGGGAAAGGGTGGAGGGTGGAGAGAGGAAGGTAGGGGAGGAGGTAGGGAATAAGTTTCTCCTCGCATGGTCCTTGTGCCAAATTTTAAGTCCAACTCTTTTAGCACCAGGACTAATTAACTAGCTCGAGATTACGGAATCATTGAATATTTTATATTAGGTGGACAGCAGGGAGTGGGGAAAAGGGGGATGGGAGAGAGGACGTTGGCGAATCACGGGAAACTTTGCAGTAAGAAAAAAAAAGAGGCAAGAATTTTCAAACGTAAAAAGTAGAAAAATATATTTATGAAAGTTGCACAAAAAATTCGTCGTTGGTGTACCACTACTACTACTACTACTACTACTATTACTGCTATTCGTTTTAATTTCCATACTTTTTTTTTTTATTCTTTTCTTAGATCCTTTTTCTACTAATCCTATATATCCTTTTTTTTTTTTGTCGTATTTAACATTTTTGGCATAAAAACAAAATTCATGAAAGAAAAAGGATCGAGAGGGGTAATTTTTTATTGAAAAAAGAAAATCGTGAAAGAGATAAAAAAGAAAAGGAAAAGGATATTAAAATTGAGAAAATTTGATCGGAATATTGGAGAGGTTCTTTTTTTTTTTTTTTTTTTTTTTTTTTTTTTTCGTAAAGAGACTGCGAAATATATTCCTGGAGTAACCTGAATTACATGAAATATGCAAACTAGAAGAGAAATGCTGAGACAACATCTCGACCGGTTCTTTTTTTTTCCTTCTTCTTCTATCATTCTCCTAGCCTGAGATGCATAAAATATTTTAAAAAAAAAAAAAAATAGGAAGAAATGGTCTGAAAAAAAAATAATAAAATTGTTTGTGTTTCCTTGAATTTAAAATTATTTTTCTCACTTTTATCTCTCTTATATCAAAAGTCATTACATCGATCATGTTTAATCTTACGAACGAGGTCTAAAATTTGTTAAAAAGAAAAAGAAATAAAAAAATGAAGAAGAAGAAGAAGACAGAAAGAGAGAGAGAGAGAGAGAGAGAGAGAAAAATTAAAAACCGTTTCCTTCAATTAAACCGAACACAACGATCGATCGGGATATTGAATATTCATTGAGAAAAAGAAAGTTTTAACGGGACACGCTATAGACAAAGAATTGACATTTTAATTGCGCTTAAATATGCACGCATAAAAAAAAAAAAAAAAAAAGATTATCCGTGAGATTTACTCGTAAATCACCATGCGTTCAAAAACGTGATATTTACTCGACAATTTATTTTTTTTTATTCTTACTTTACATTTTCTTCTATTTTTTTAATTTCTTCTTCTTCTTCTTCTTCATCATCTTTTTCTTCGTTTTATTTAAATTGCCATTCGGATAATTAAACATTCGTTGTTTACGATTACTAATTTATTCAATCCTTTTAACGATTCATGAACCGATTTCAATAGTCTTTGTAAATGATTCGTGACATTCTCATTTAGTTTCTAAACGTGAGACTTCGTAATTACAAGAAAAAAAAATATAACAAGATAAAAAATAAAATGCAAACACGGGCAGATATAAAATTCAAGAAAAGATAAATTCGTATTATCTCATGGTAGATCCTAATTAGATTCGAATATGGAAATGACATTTCGTCTATTATCATTCCTAGATTATTTTTTTTTCTCTCTCTCTCTCTTATATTTTTCACCCATGTCAAATTTTTTGCGTTACATCGAGTTCGCGTTCTTATTTCTTTTTTTTTTTTTTTTTTAAATAATTTCACACAAATATATCATAAATATATAAATGAACGTACGATGATGATCTCGAGAGAAAAATAATTCATCGTCATCAAAAACACAAATTCAATGAGATGAAGAAGAAAAAAGAAGATGAAACAAATGCTAGATTTTTTTTGGTCATTAAATAACTTTTTTTCGAAAACTCGAGTCAAGATGAGAAATAATAAAAAGAATTCGTGTAAAAAAAGATAATGATTTTAGAACGATGCTAGGATTTTTTGATTTAGATTTCAAACCTATCTCGAATATAATTTTTTTTTTTAAATAAATACTAAAAATGCATATAAAATTTGACGAAATTGAGAATGCATGCGTCGTCTTCGTCGTACAGAAGTTTATCAATTAGTTGAATTTTCAATTGTAGGCAAAGTTACGACTTACCCTTTCTATGTGACCACCGCTAACGATTTCCGGTGTGTTAACACAGACCACCCTCTTCAAACGTAGTTTATTAACATGAAATGCCGAGCCGTAACAATACATCAACACCATTGTCGTCGGGAAGTAGAAACAGCAACATGCGAGTATTCTATAAAAAAAAAAAGAAAAAGAAAAAACGAAAGAATAGATAAACAAATATTTTAAACGTTGCTTTATTCTTATTAAATATAAAACTCATGAGATAATAATAATACATTTAAAAATAAAACAATAAAATGATCTACACGGTATGTAGAGATTTAATAAAAACAAAATCAAGATAATTTAAATAATATATTTAATATAGGAATCTAATTAAAAATTATTGATCCGGCAGTGTGTTTAAATACGAAAACCTTGACAGTAGAAAAAATAGAAGATAGAATTAAATGAACGTGAAAACAATTAACGATAAAATTAATTACACGAGAAATAATAAAAATTCAAAAAACTAAAGTGTTGTTTGTGTACAGACCAGAGAAAAATTATGATTAAACAAATTAATAGGAATCCAATTAAAAATGAATAATCTGACAGTGATAAAAACCGAAAATTTGATTTGGATAGAATTAAACTAACATAAAAAGGAATCAAACGATAAAGTAAATTAGGTGTTAAATAATAATTTCAAATTATTTATAGAGGAATAAAAAAAATAATATACGAACGATTAGAAAAAAATCTAATGTAATCATAACGAATAACAAATATTATTAATCAAACGTAGAGATATAGAAAAATAAAATACGAGTCAGATTAAATCGGAATGAAGAAAAAGAAGAAAAAAAGAAAAAGGGTTGGGTGTAAGTAAACGAGAATGAAATAAATCAACTCGTCGCGTTATAGAAACTTAAAATTGACTACAAAAAAAACTTCGTGTATATTTAAAGTAACTAGAAATAAAGATTGAAGGAAAGTAAAAATAGAGAAAAAAAAAGAAAAGAGGAATAATAAAGATAAAAAAGAAAGGGAAAAAAAGGGACTCGTAATCGGATGGTAATTGGCCCCTGGCGGGTGCCAGATGGGGAATGAAAAGAAAGGGTGAATAAGGGATGGCACTTATCGACTCCTTTACATCCCTTTAGAAATGTGATACCTAAGGGATGCTCTAGCGAAGAAAGGGTCGCAGGCAAGAAGGCCGGAACTGTTGAAGTAGTAGCCACCTCTTGGGAGAACCAAAGCACCAAAAATCGCCAAACTTGCTATCCATGTGGTAGACATCACTGCCACACAACCTTGCCGCATGTAATACTGTTTTAACATACATACACACAAAATAATATCATTCACACATTGAATTATCACAAACTACGTACTATTATATATATATTATATTATTCATGTGTGTTTTAATAAGCACACATTAATCTTATTTATTAACTAGAATGTTTATTTGTATGTTTAATGATAAAATTTTACAGGGAACTTGGACATGAAAAGAAGTAGAACTTAGTTTGATTGAGTTGCATGTTTATTATTTGTATTATTTGTTTGTATGTTTATTGAGTGAGATAGTTTATATGATGGATAGGATTTATGGTGTATGGTGGTTTTATATATATTACGTAGATATGTTTAATTATGACTAAATTTATTCTTGCAATGTTAAAATGTTTTGATATTTTATTTTTTTTTACTACGTGTGTTATGTTTAGTGTTTGTAATAAAATGAAAAGTAGATTTTTACTGATTATTGTTAATATTTTTGGCAAATAATTTTTTGTTTTTTTTTATAGGAATTTATTAGTTTCCGTCAGAAAGATTAGCAAATATTAGGGGATTACTTTATGAAAATAATTTAAATATTTTGTAAAAGATTGTCAAACGTGTTTGATCAATATTACGAATCGGTAAATGAAAAAAAATATGTACTTTAAAGATTTCGTGTAAAAATGAAGAAGTTATCTAGGGTTCCGCCCTTCGGGATGGAAAAGGGGTTTTGCGGTTAACCGTTGTAAGTTTTCCCGACGAGTTACTTTTATCGAGGCGATAGATTTTACGAGCACGGATTTCTTTCTCGACGTGTTAAGTATCTTCAAGATTACGACGATTGACTCTGGCCACCTCCTCCACCTCCTCCTCCTCCTCCTCCTCTTCCTACTTTCGAAAGGGTGCCCTCGTTCGGAATGACGGCCGATATTTTTCCGAAACCTCTTCTTCGTGATTCCCGAACGTATCGAGAACTTACTTTCTTTTTCTTTTTCTTTTTGTTTCTCTCTTTCTATTCTTCTTCTTTATTTTTCTTCTATTTTACGATATAGTTTATATCTCTTTTTCAAGATCTTTACTTACGTATAGGATATATACATAAAATGAATCTGATAAAAATATTCTTATCTAAAATTGTTCAGTTAAAATTATTGTTCTTTGATATTGTTCTTTACGAAATCTTATTTTTACAAAGCGATTTTTAAATTCGATTACAAATCGATTAGATTTTATTTTTATATTTATATATATATATACTATAGTACAAACATATTTCAATATTTTAATATGTTTGTATATTAAAATAATAAATTACACAAAAAATAATCAAACGATTAAAGAATTCCCTCATTTTTAAACACTTGTATCTTACTATTATTATTATTATAATATTAAAATATCATTTTCAAATCTCAAAAAAATTTATTATGTAATTATTAATGAATCTTTTACAATTATCTGATGTAACTTTTACAATTATTTAAATGCAGACATATGTATATAAACATTAAAAGAAAAGTTAACGTTATCTAACTTTCGTGTAATTCAAAGTTAGCGATATAATTTCAAAAAATCATTTTCAAATCTTAACAAATTGATTATGTAATTATTAATGAACCCTTTACAATTATTTAAATGCAGACATATGTATATAAACATAAAAAGAAAAGTTAAAGTTATCTAACTTTCATGTAATTCAAAGTTAGC